GGGGGGACAAAAGGGGGAGATGGTGGCGGGTCCAGGAGCCGGAGCGTGGCCCGTCCCGCCGTGCAGGGGCCCCTACGAGTACGTGCTGAGGCTGCGGCCGGACCTCTACACCGCCAAACACACCCAGTGGTTCTACTTCCGCGTCCAAAACACCCGCAAGGACCCCCTCTACCGCTTCACCATCGCCAACCTGGCCAAGCCCAAGAGCCTCTACGGCCAGGGGCTGCGGCCCCTGCTCTACTCCCAGCGGGACGCCCAGAGCCGCGGTGTGGGCTGGCGCCGGGTGGGGACCCACGTCCGCTACTACCGGGGTGCGGAGGAAAAGGAGGAGGAACCGGCCACCTTCCGCCTCTCCTGGACGGTGCGGTTCCCCCACGACAGCGACACTTGTTTCTTCGCCCACTCCTACCCCTACACCTACTCCGACCTGCAGCGGTACCTGGCGGGGCTGGCGGGCGACCCTGCCTGCTCGCGGTACTGCGCGGTGCGGGCGCTGTGCCGCAGCCTGGCCGGTAACACCGTCTACCTGCTGACCATCACCAGCCCCGCCGGCACGGGGGCGGCCAAGCGGGCGGTGGTGCTGAGCGCCCGCGCCCACCCCGGGGAGAGCGGAGGGTCCTGGGCCATGAGGGGGTTCCTGGATTTCCTCCTCGGCCCCCACCCCGACGCCCGGCTGCTGCGCCGCCTCTTCGTCTTCAAGGTGGTGCCCATGCTCAACCCCGACGGGGTGGTGGTGGGCAACTCCCGCTGCTCCCTGGCGGGACGCGACCCCAACAGGGCCTACGGGACGGCGCTGCCGGGCTCCTTCCCCGGCGTGTGGCACCTGCGGGCCATGGTGGAGAGGTGAGGAGGGGGGCACGGGGAGGCGGTGGGAGGGTGGTGCTCTCCCCATGGGGGACGGTGGTGGCCGTATCCGGGTGCACGCAGGGTGCTGGCAGAGAGGGAGGTGGTGCTGTACTGCGACTTCCACGGGCACAGCCGGAAGAACAATGTCTTCATGTACGGCTGCGACGGCGGCGCCGGGCTGCGGCTGCTCCAGCGCGTCTTCCCCCTGATGCTGAGCAAAAACGCCCCCGACAAGGTGGGATCATAGAATCATAGAATCATAGAATCGTCTAGGTTGGAAGAGACCCTTGTGATCATCGAGTCCAACCATCTCCCCTACTCTACAAAGCCCTCCCCTACACCATGTCCCTCAGCACTGCATCTAAACGGCCCTTAAACACAGCCAGGGATGGGGACTCCACCCCCTCCCTGGGCAGTATGTGTGGGATGTTCTGGAGCTGGGGGAATGGTGTCCTCACCCGAGCTTCACGGTGACATCGGGGGGATGTCCCTGTGGGGTTGGGGAAGGGGAAACGTCCCCCCAACCCCGTTGTGCTGACACCGGGGCTGGCCCCAGTTCTCCTTCCCCAGCTGCAAGTTCAAGGTGCAGAAGAGCAAAGCAGGGACGGGCAGGGTCGTCATGTGGCGCATGGGCATCTCCAACAGCTACACCATGGAGGTGGCCTTCGGCGGCTCCACGCTGGGTGAGGGGCCACCGCAGGTGCCGGTGTCCGGTGTGTCGGCTGGCGGGCAGTCCCCGGGGGGGGAAGCTGCTGCTTCTTTCCTCGTCCCTTGTCCCCTTCAGGCGGCAGGAACTCACACTTCACCCTGGAGGATCTCAAGGCGCTGGGCTACCACCTCTGCGACACCCTGCTCGACTTCTGCGACCCCCATCCCGCCAAGGTGGGCTCACACCGCGGCGCCCAGACTGGTCCCAGTGCCACAGGGGGGGGAATCCTAGGTGACGCTGGCTCCGTCCTGCAGCTCCAGCAGTGCCTGTCGGAGGTGGACGCGCTGCTGCGGCAGCGGCTGGGCCGGGAGCCGGGCTCCAGATGGAGCGACGTCTCCACCTCGGAGCTGGAGTCCAGGTACAGACTGAACCAGGGACACCCCCCCGAGTCCTGGGGGGCAGCGGGGGCTCAGGCAGTTGTCTCCCCCTCACAGCACCAGCGGTTCCGACAGCTCCGTGTCCGACGGGCCCCCCGCTCCCCTCCACGGCACGGCCCGGCCGGTGAGTCACCAAGTGCCACTGCTTTTGGGGTGGGAGGGATGAAACACTGGGAAGAGGTGAGGTGTCGCGGGGCGCAGACACCCCAGAATCGCTTTGCCATTGGCGCAGCCGGAGCAACGGAGGAGGAAGCAGCGTCGGAGCCGGAGAGCGAGGAATGCCCTGCACGGGACAAACAGCGCCTGCCAGAGCCGTGCCAGCGTCCCGGTGAGCCTGCAAGCGTGATCCACCTGGCCCCAGAGGGGACAATCCTGCAGGGACACTTGTCCCCAGTGCTGTCCCAGCCTGCTGCCAGCACCCCTGGAGCTCCAAGTGACTCTTCTGTCACCCCCAGGCCAGACTGGGGACCACCAGGACCCCCAGAACCCCAAGGGGACGTGGCATGGCGGGAGAGAAGCCTCGAGCCAGCTCCAGTGGGACCTTTCCCAGCACGGCTGGAGTTAGGGACGGCCGCCGTGCTGCCATGAGGGGGTCTCAGCTGGAGGGTGGCACAAGCACAGTGTCACGCCATCGGCTGCCACTCAGCACCCACCACCTCGGTATCACTGGTGATTCCTCACGGGGTACAGCCCCGGGAACTGAACCAGGGCCATCCCGGCAGCGGGTCGGGCAGCAGGGCGGACAGGCGGCTTCTACCCGTGGACACAGGGTGCATCCTCCCCCCGCCACCCCCGGCAGGGCCTCGCTGTCTGCCACCCCGCGCTGCTGGGCCTGCGCTCGGGATTAAAGGCGCTGCCATGGCCGTGCCTCTGCCTGGTGACACCTCTTTGCATGACACCATCCCTCCTGGGGCTCCCCTTTTGGCCCCCTGGCCCTCCAGCCTGCCCAGAGGCTGCTGGCACCCAGCCCTGGGCCCTGCCACCATCACGGTGCCCTCAGTCCCTGCAGTAGTGCTGCAGGCCCCACTGCCACGGTGCCACCTCCTTGGTGTCACCTCAGGCCTCCTCAAGGCGGCGTGGTGTCGCCTCAGGCCCAGCCACCGCGACAGCATCACAGAATCACACAGAATCACAGAGTCTTCTAGGTTGGAAGGGACCTTAAAGATCATCTTGTCCAACTGTCAACCTGACTGACAAAAATAGACACCCACACAACAAACAAGGAGCATCATCACTAAACCAGACCTCCCAGCACTACATCAACCCGGCTTTTGAACACCTCCAGGGATGGGGCCTCAACCACCTCCCTGGGCAGCCCATTCCAATGGCTGAGAACCCTTTCAGTGAAAAAATTTTTCCTAATATCCAGCCTGAACCTCCCCTGGCGCAACTTGAGGCCATTTCCTCTTGTCCTGTCGCCTGTGACTTGGGAGAAGAGACCGACCCCCACCTCTCTACACCCTCCTTTCAGGGAGTTGGAGAGAGCAATAAGGTCTCCCCTCAGCCTCCTCTTCTCCAGGCTGAACACCCCCAGCTCCCTCAGCCTCTCCTCATAAGACTTATTCTCCAGACCCCTCACCATCTTTGTCGCCCTTCTCTGGACCCGCTCCAGCACCTCCATGTCTTTTTTTATGGTAGGGGGCCTAAAACTGGACACAGTACTCAAGGTGAGGCCTCACCAGTGACGAGTACAGGGGGACAATCACCTCTCGGGCCCTACTCCCCACGCTGTTCCTGACACAGGCCAGGATGCTGGTGGCCTTCTTGGCCACCTGGGCACACTGCTGGCTCCTGTTCAGCCGACGAGGCTGACAGGCCCTGTCGCCGTGGTGTCACCTCGGTGTTGCCTCAGGCCCTGTCGCCAGGGCGTCGCCTCAGGCCTACAGGCCCCCTTGCCATGGTGTCACTTCAGGCCTGCAGGCCGCGCCAGGCCGCAGGCCCCGTTGCCATGGCGTCGCCTCAGGCCTGGCGCGGCCTCAAGCGCCGTCACCACGATGACGTCCTCCCCGGTTGCCATGGCGATCCGGCGAGGCGGGGCGGGGCGGGGGGAGGCGGAAGCGGTCGGCGGGCGCGCCGGAAATACCGGGGGGCGGGCGGAAGCGGAAGCGGCGGCGGCTGCGGCGGCGGCGGCGGTGTCCTTCTGGGCCGTGACGCCGGGCGGCAGCATGGCGGACGCGGGCTCGCAGGTGCTGCTGGGCTCGGGGCTGACCGTGCTCTCGCAGCCCCTCATGTACGTGAAGGTGCTGGTGCAGGTAAGGAGGAGGGGTGCGCGCCCGGTTTAACGGGGAGTTGGGGGTGTGCTACCCTGCCCGGTACCGGCTGCAGGCCGCCTGTCCCACCCGCAGGTGGGGTACGAGCCGCTGCCGCCCACCCTGGGGAGGAACATCTTCGGACGCCAGGTCTACCAGCTGCCCGGCCTCTTTGCTTATGGTGAGTTTGGACCCCTCTCCCCCCCGCCCGGTGGTCTCCCGGTGGTCCCCCGGTGGTCTCCCGCCTCCTCCCCGGTGTAACGGGTCCCCGCTGTCCCCAGCCAAGCACATCGTGAAGGTCGACGGAAGAGCCGGACTCTTCAAGGGCCTCGCCCCCCGCCTCTGCTCCAGCGCCATCGGCACCGTGGTGCACAGCAAAGTGCTGCAGGTACCGGGGGGCGGGATGG